ATCATAATGACGTATCTTTTGTGACTGGCTTCTTTCAGCATAATGTCTTCAGGCTCACTTAAGTTGTAGCATGTGACAGGATTTCCTTCCCTTGTAATGCCGAGTAATACTCCATTGGATGTATATACCACATTTTCTTTATTTATATGACCGTACACACTTGGGTTGCTCCCATCTCTCGGCTATTTGTGAGCAATGCTGCTATGAATATGAGTGTGCAAATAAATATCTCTTCAAGACCCTGCTTTCATGTCTTTTAGATACATACCCAGAAGTGGAGCTGCTGGATCATATGTCCTATTTTCAATTTTTTGAGTAACCTTCATACTGTTTTCCATGATGGTTGTACTGTTTTACTAAAGATTCTTTTATTTTATTTTTTTAGATTTTTTTTTTATTGGGGAATTGGGGAAGGGGAACAGACAAGTTGCTGTCTTTTTGTTCTTCAGCCTAGTTGTAGAGGATGTCACTTCACTGGCCCATGTTGGTTATTATCATTGCGCTCTTCCCCGGGTGAGGCAGTCGCTCGCCGGCCATTGGACGGCTGCTCATGGCGGCTCACAGCAGCTCATGCCCACTGTTGGCCAGCCTCACTGCAGCCTACGCTGTTGCCGGNAAATTTAAAAATGCACCAAAGTCTGAGTTTTGCTACCTTTTCAATGCTAGCAATCTCCAAGGTGGGGAAAAACCTCAAATACTTACAACTCTCCTGTATAAGTATTGAAAAGAATTTGGGCTAAAGAAAATGTTTTATTTTAGGAAAGGCAGAAGCACTGTGCTGTAAGTTTATGTAAACCATCCCTTACTATCAACTACCCAGTGGATTAATTTATTTTCCCATTTAATATCATTCCATGTGAAGGCACTCTTCATACTAACATTTTACAGATGGAAATTGAGGTTTTCAGAGAGGAGGTGACTTGATCATAGCAACACAGTAAGTGGCAGAGGCAGAATTGGGAGTCCACATCTGGTTGATTCCCAAACCTGAGGCCATACTTACGTCACTGTGTCCTATGGTATTAACATAGGCAAGGGGCATGAGGACCATTTTTACAATGAAAAAAACTTAGGAAGTTGAATTCCAAGCCTGCTGCCTGCGTGCTGCCAGACACAGAACTTGGGCAGATGTTAATCACAGAACAGACCCTCCGAAGCCTATTGGGCAAAGAGATCCCATTATGGCCATTCCTGTAATTAAACCGATTACATACTAGCCACAGACTGTACCTTACAAAAGTTAAAGGCGTACCTGCCCCTATTGTACTTGTAGAAGTTCCCCACACCAAGTTTTCATGGAAACAAGAAACAGAAACCCTAGCCTGGTGGATGGAGGGGGTCTCTCCCACTAGCGATTAGAGACCGCCACCCAGTCTTTGGGTGGCCTTTCTTATTTACTCTCTGCTAAGTAAACTTTCACTTTAAACTCTGTATTGGCTCATGTTTGAATTCTTTCTTTTTTTTTTTTTTTTTTTTTTTTAGCTGAGCCATCCTGCTACCTGTTGGCAGCTCAGTGAATTCTTTCTTGCATGAAGCCAAGGACACTCTTTTCATGTAACAGTATAGATCTTGGACAATGGCAAAATTCTCTTGGTTTCTGATTTAGCAATGGACTCATTTGAAGTAACCCTCACCCTGATTTTCACTGGGATCATAAGCTAGGATTAGCCTCTGGCCCAGTGAATCTTGTTTAGAGTTTCTTAAAACCATCTTATCACACTTCCAGGCAGCAACAGAAAGGGCAGTTGTCCACATTTGCACCCCCAGCCCATGGTAGCATACTGGGGTTAGGTGGCTGCTGAACCCTTTCATCAAGGCTAAACTCTTAAGAACATCTGTGTTGATTTCACTGGTTGGATTTTGCCACTGGCCAGAANCCACCGCCTAGTGTAAAATAAAATCAAGTACTACAATCTTAACTGTTGTGGCCTTCTTTGATCAAAAGAGTTGATACTATTCAAGGCCAAAAGTTATCCGTTTATAGACACTTAATTTCTACTTGGCTTTTACATTTAAAAGGATTTGTATTGTATTGCATTTATAAACTTTTGATTTGTGAAATCCATGGTTGATCTGTTTTCTTCCAACCAAATGTTTAGACTTTGATTTTTCTACCCTAGTGATATTTTTTACTTTCCCATTTTTATCTTTACTTCATTTTCCTTTAATAACTTGTCATGTTCAGCTTTCATTTCACTTTTTGCTCTTTTTCTTGAGTATATTACGCTAATCTGGAAAGTCGGTGCGACTGTCGAAATGTTAGATATCTCAATAAGGTACTTGTAATTAAAACACTATGAGGACTACAATCACTAATTCTACTGTATTAAATATTAGGAGATATAGTTTGATCAACAACATGGCTTGTATGAAAACTCTGAGCAAGTAAGTGTATGTCATTACCTGTAGTGTTCTGTGTAGTTATTGCTTGGTCTACAGAAAATAATGACTTATGTCTGATTTGCTTTCACTTATTAAACATGTTCACCATAGGATGATGTCTATGAAATCAGATATTGTTAAATTAGACTAGGATTTAATAAAAATTGTGAAAGCTTACTGGCCTAACATTTATTTTATAACATTGAGTATGGATTATATATAGCTAGAGATATCACTGAGCTTTACTGTCATAGGTAATGTGGTCAGCTTTTAGGGGAAAGAGCATATACTTTTTTGGCCTCTACTTCAGTAGACTTGGTTCTTGTGCAGTTTATCTACTGGACTTAAATGTTACTAAGTTTTAGCAGGTACTCTGAAATGATTTTCATTGAACCATGATGACAAAGCAGACATAGATCGAGGCACAGACTTCAGGGGCTTTGCAGCAATAAGTAGGGCGTGGTGTGCCTTAGGGAAAGAATATTTGTGAGGGAGCTATCACTGAAGTTCAAGAAGACAGTGAAGACAAAGGAATTCTCTTCAAACTAAATGGTAACACATGATATTTTCACATTGATAGGACACAATTCTAGATAGAATAGTAAAAAGGTTTAAAGACGTAAAGGTAAAAAATCTTGGTGACAAATTATTTTTGGTAGCTGATCTTAACGGTTACTGCCACATCAGAGAGTTGCACTATTATATTCCAAGTTTGATTATGTCTAGAGCATTTTATGGTAGAATTGTCAAAGACTTGGTTCTGAAACCATCTGCTAGGCCACATACAGTTATCAGTTTCTCTGGCAGCTATTGTGTTTTAAGGTTTTGATTATTTTAAGTGTTTTTAGCAGTAACCCTATTAGGTGCATAATTGGGGAAATAAATTCTCTTCTGTTATTTTTAGCCTTCATCAAATAATAGGTACCAAAGGGTTCAAAATAACATATTTTAGACAAATTATACTTGATTAATAACCCCCCCCCGCACCCCCCTTTTGGAAACATGTGTGTCCTATTTGGGGAGATTTGTAAAGTATTCCTTATCTATACAGAAAGGGTAGTTAGAAACAGAACTTTGATTTTGTTGTAGATGGAGAGGGGATAATGGTTAAATTTCTTAGGTTTATATGAATTTTAAGGGGTGTATGCATTTTGAAACAATCTGCTAATACAGAGATGGTGCTGAAATCTATTACCTAGGCATTTTCTAGCTGTTTAGCTTATGTCATTAAACCTTCATATAAGGAGTGTTTCTCTGGCAGAATTTGGTAAGTTGACTGCTAAATTCATCTAAACACATTACTGGATATGCAATATATAGAAATTATTAATCTTTTTGTGTGTAGGAAAGGATGAGAACTGGGTTAAAATCAGAACCAAATTAACTTGTACTGAAAAGAAAAAAGATAGGGTACTTTTGTTATCTGTTTAAGCTTTATCTTCTTGGTAAGATTTCTTCAGAAAGCTTGGCATTTTGGGTCAGCCCTTTCCTCCCTTGTAATGCCAAAATGAATTTAATTAATGCCAGCCTTGAATGTACTCCAGCAGGGCTTTTCTAATGGGGTTTTATTCATTCTTTGTCTTTCAAAGTACAGGCAGCATTTGACCAATTTCCAGTGCTCTTGGCATTTTATTAAAAGAACAACCACTAAAAAAGAAAAACTATAATTTGATTATTCTCTTTTGTTTTGCTTCATAAATGCTTAAGAACTTTTGAAGAATAATCCTACCTCATTAGCTAGTCAAGATCCTGTGATGATCAACTTATTCGATGTAATGTTTTTTGGGGAAAAAAATCTTATGAAAATAAAAACTGTGTACATCTTTGTCTTGGCTACTGAAGAGAAAAGAAAAAGAATTGAGAATTGTTCCCGACAGAGGTATGTGAGAAGAGCACTATATAAGTTTGAAATATTGAAGTGCTGGCTAATCTTTTTAAGTACCTTTCCTGATATTTACTATTCACTTTTTATGGAACTTAATCCAGTGAAACACTCCAAAATTTTTTGTGTATGTGTGTTTTTTTTTAAAGTGGTGTTTTTCCAGATATAAACTCTAGGGGTAAACATTCACATAGTCAAGAATGTAATTCTGTAATTGTGGAATTCCTGTATGCTTTGTTTGGTACATCTTCCATGGAGATGTCAATGAACATAATGCTCTATCTGTGAATATTTTAAATGTTGAAATAAAAATAAGAAATGTGCCCTGTGTGTCATCCCAGTTTCACAAACCTGAAAATGAAGGTTAAGTTCTTCATTGAATGGGTTTTATTAACAAGTAGAATGCCTTCCTGTGTGAGTGCTTCTGGAATATGAATTAGCCAGAGCATGTCAAATCTTCTGAGGACCTCTGGGACCAGGTGTCTACCTGATCCAAATGGAAAAATGCAAATACTAAGGTGTACATTGCCACTCGTTGGTTTACCTGGGAAGGTTTTGCAGCCTGGTTATTCCTTGGTATACTTAGCCATGTACTGGACGCCTGATGACTCTTTATTTTGTTCCACCTAGTCAACTGCAAATTTGCTTTTCAGTAAAANTGTGCAGTAAGTTGTGAATGTAAATATGAACATGACTGTTGAAATGAATACCTTTTCATGTTTTGTTTCTTTTGCAGATTGGTAAAATGAGGTATGTCAGCGTTCGAGACTTTAAAGGGAAAGTCCTAATTGATATTAGAGAATATTGGATGGATCCAGAAGGTGAAATGAAACCAGGAAGAAAAGGTGAGATTTAATTTCCTGAATTTGGTCCTAATATTGGGACTAAATTAAAAATTATCAAAGTAACCTATCTTGTTTAAAATTGAAATAATATTTGTAGTGCTTTGGGAAGATTCTCATTCAGTTGATTGACTGTTTTCTGTAGTTTTTTTGGACATGATGCATAACTTACTTTAATTGTCTTAAATTTAGCTGTTGGAATAAGACCCAGAAAAAATAATACCCCTAATATCACTGCAGTTGGCTGCTCATTTACTTGACTGTAACTTAAAAAGAAAAATAAAATTGACATTCTTAAGTAGAGTAGGCACCATCCTGGGAAGTTGTAAAATCAAGAATGGAAAATCTTGGTTTACAAGTGTTTCATTTTGAATATTCTTTAGGATGGTATCCTCTAAGTGGGCTTTTTGTCTTCTCCATCTGTGCTTCATGTAGTCCCAAGCCTGTCAGCATCGTAGAAGCATACTTGATTCATTCACTAAATAGCTAGAGATCATTTGTGCACCAACATATATTCGTATATAAGGATGCTTCAGGTTGATCCTTAGCTAATGAAAAAATGCCTCCTTCTCTTCTGCCTGCATGTCGTTTTGAAATGTACCACTTGTTCATGCAGTTTTTAGGCTTATTGAACTTAACCTCTGTTTTCATACCCTTTAACATTTTCTTGTTCTGGCTTCTTCTAGATTGGTCATTCAAGTTATTCCATTGTGGCCAATGCCAGATTTCTTTTCTTGTTCCTGCAAATATTTGCTAGAACAATTTGGGTAGCTTTTTTAAAGCCTTGCCTAGGTGTTGTCTGAATACATTCTCCACCTTTTTCTCAATTTCATGGCCTCCCAGTAGTTTTCTGAGAAATA